GGGTAAAGGAAAAAGGAGGAGGAGGAGGAGGAGGACGAGGGAGAGGAGGAGCAGGAGGATACTCGTGGGAAGGAGGCGGCGGACAACGAGGGAGGAGAAGCGGCCGAGGAGGACGACGAGCAGGAGGAGACTCCCCCTTGACACCAGCACCAGGCACTCCAGGCCGGAGGGCCCTGGCCCAGAGCGGGGCCAACGCGACGCGCGGGGAGGCGCGGGGGGCGCCCGGCTCAGCGAGCCGCCGCGGCGGGCTCGGGTCCTGACCGAGGCGGCCTCCGGGTCCGAGCCGCCAGGGGCGGCCGCGCAGTCGCCCTCGGAGAGGTCGTCCTCGCAGGTGGCGGCGGGGGGGGGTGGCAGGGAAGGGCCGGTCGGTCGGACATGGCACCAGTGCGACCGGCGTGCCTCCTCGCGAGCCGCTCAGCCCAGGGGGTGGCTCTTCTTCCGCCCGCCGCCCCGCGGGACGACGTGCGCCTCCGCCTCCGCCTCCGCCTCCGCCGCCGCCGCCGCCGCCGCCGCCTCCTCCTCCTCCTCCTCCTCCTCCTCCTCCTCCTTCCTCCTTCCTCCTCCTCGCTTCGGCCAGTGCGAGTCGGCCCTCCTGCCCCGAGCAGCCCGGGGCGGAGGCGCAGCCGTCCTCGCGGAGGCCGTCCCCGCAGAGGAGGGGAGGGGGCAGCAGGGGGGGGGCGAGGGGGGGAGGGCCAGCACCTCGGCGGGCGCGAGCCCTCTTGTGCGCCCCGCAGGCAGGGGCAGAGAGCCCCTGCGGCCCTTGGCTCTGCAGCCTGCTGCTGCCTGCCCGGGCCAGCTGGGAGGCTCGCTGCCCTGCGCACGGCAGGAGGGGGCGGCTGGGAGGAGTCCTTTCGTGCCCGCAGTCAGGGCCAGAGAGCCCCTGCGGCCCTTGGAGCTGCAGCCTGCTGCTGCTGCCTGGGCCAGCTGGGAGGATCGCTGCCCTGCGCACGGCAGGAGGGGGCGGCTGGGAGGAGAAAGAAAGCCGGGAGGCGAGGAGAGAGGGGGGCGAACATGCGTACCCGAACATGTGCGCTTTCGAGCTCCCAGCTGCGCCCGGATTTGGCCTGATGCCGTACCGGTTGATACGCTAGGGCAGACTGGATCAAGAGCGGCAAAATCAACACCGGGCACAGCGAGGACGCGAAGGAAAGCTAAGGGGAAGGAATGGAGAAGGGATGGCGGAATACTGACGCTTTCTAAATCCCTGGCCCCGCACTTGGAGGCTTAATTCAGCTTGAAGGCTGCTTGCTCCCCTGGCGGCGCACGCTGGTCCCTTGGACGAGCCGCCCCAACATTACTGGCGCAAGACTGGCGCTGTGCAGGAGGGCGCTCGCAGGCAGGGAAGAGGGAAAAGGAGGAAGATAAGGGAGGGATCGATGCTATTCCAACCTTCGCATCACTCTGCTGGTCGGAGAAAGCGTGTGCCCACGATGGAAGTCTCACTATTTTGGGCTTGCTTCGTCCGCAGGGGGTGCCTATCATGCCACAGCGTCTGCTTCGTTTGGCTCGCGTGTGCCCGATGCTCGTGAGCCTGCCGTCCACGCGGCCACTCCCCACCGGTGTCGGGATCGCACTCCCCTCGGCCACGCCGAAGGCTTCGAGCGCCTCCGCCTGCTGGCACACTTGGCTCTCGTGGCACTGCCTTGATCGGCCGTCGCCCCACTGCTCGGCGGCGGCGCCCGTCGGCCTCAACGTCGTCGTCGTCGTCGTCGTCGTCGTCGTCGTCGTCGTCGTCGGCGGCGGCGGCGGCGGCGGCGGCGTCGTCGTCCTCTGTGGAGACGTCGTCGGCGTCCACGTCCACGTCCACGTCCACGTCCACGTCCACGTCCACGTCCACGTCGTCGTCGTCGTCGTCGTCGTCGTCGTCGTCGTCGTCGTCGTCGTCGTCCTCTCTGGAGGCGTCGTCGGCGTCGCCGCCCCACGGCCTGGCGACGTCGGCCTCCACGCTGGCCTCCAGCGCCCCGAGTGCGGGAGAACCGGGGCCTCCAACGCAGCCGCTCTCGTGGCGGCGCTGGGGTGGGAGGGAGAGGGAGAGGGGGAGGAGGGCAGAAGGGAGGGGGGGAGGGGAGAGGGAGGAGGGAGGGGGGGAAGGGTTGAAGGAGAGAGGAGGAGGGGGGGCGGAGGAGGGGGGCCAGCAGGAGGAGGAGGAGGGAGGAGGAGGAGGAGTGAGGAGGAGGGCCGCCCGGCCGCCCCGACGTCCGAGCCTTGCCGGATGGCGAGCCGAGGCACGGCAGCTCGAGATCGGTCCCTTGGGGACGCTTCACACGCATGCACCGCACGCACGCCACCGCAGCACGCAGTGCCGCACTCACGCACCGCACGCTACGCACGCACGCACGCAGCACGCACGCACGGCACGCACGCACGCACGCCACGCACGCACGCACGCAGCACGCACGCACGCCGCAGCAGCACGAGCACACACACACACACACACACACACACACACACACACACACACACACACACACACACACACACACACACACACACACACACACACACACACGCCTACCGGCCCAGAAGCCGTCCCTGCGCGGGAGGCGGGTCCCTGGGACGCCTCCCGGCGTCCAGCCGCACCAGCTGGCCCCGAGCTGCGTCCAGCCGTGGCGACGAGGGGGGCCCCCGAAGGCCAACTGCCGCTGCCGCAGCTCTCCCCTCCTCCGACCCTGTCGGCCTGCGACCGCGCTGACCCATCAGCTCCGCCGCCTCCACCGAGCCGCCGACGCCAGCACAGGGCCACACACGCCTGACCACGATGGTGTGGCCCGCACTGCCGCCTCTGCAGCCGCGCCCCGTGCCGCCGCGGCGAGGGGGCGCGCGCCCTGAAGCCTCGCGCGGCCGAGAGCTCGCTCGCTCGCTCGCGCCCTAGTGGCAACGAGCGAGGGGGGACGGACGAGGAGAAGAAATCATAAGAGGATGCTGGGGAGGAGGAATGGCAAGAGGATGTCCTCTTTGTGACTTTGTGCAGCATCAGCAGCACACAGCTACACGAACGCAGCAAGGTCCTGCGCGTCTCTGTATGGCGGGAGGAGGAGGAGGAGGAGGCGGAGGTGGAGGAGGAGGAGGAGGAGGAGAAGGAAGCGTAGGAGCAGTAGTATGAGGAGGTGGAGGAGGAGGCGGAGGAGGAGGCAGGAGGGGGAGAAGAGGTAGGATGGACCTGAAAACAAACGACACCACGCCTCCTACGGCTCCACGGGCCTGAGCACAACCATGAAATCTGGCTTGGGCTTCTGCGTGGCATGCGGAGTACGGCCCCCGATGGGCCGCAGCGCAACTTGGAGGGCCGCAGGTGGGGTGGTGACGTTTGTTTCCTGGTCCATCCTACCTCTCCTCCCCCTCCGCCTCATCCTCGGCCTCCTCCTCCTCGTCTTGTGCCGTCTTGCCGCTCCTCCGCTCCCCTCCGCCTCCTCCTCACTCATCCTCCTCCTCCTCCTCCTCCTCCTCCTTTACTCCTCTCCTCCTCCTCCTCCTCCTCCTCCTCCTCCTCCTCCTCCTCCTCCTCCTCCTCCTCCCCCTCCTCCCCCTCCTCCTCCTCCCCCTGGAGGTCGGAGGCGGGAGGCGGGAGGGAGGAGCGCGCGGCAGGCCCAGGACGGGCGTCCTCTGCGGGGGCGCCGCGGAAGTGCCGGTCCACGGAGTCCAGGATCCTGCGGCCGACGGCCTCGGGGCGGGCGGGCGTCCGGGCGGGGCCGGGGGCCTCCTGCCGCCCCCGCCCCGACCCAGCCCCAGGGATCCGACGCATTGGGCAAAGCAGGTGGGAGGTTTTTGTCCCATCTCTCGGTTTTCCCCCCCTGTCGCCCCAGGAAGCCAGCGCAGTGAACAAACAAGTCAGGTCGGAGATCCCAGATCTTCTCCGGGCCCCGGGGCCGTCAAGAAACGATCGTCGGGATGAGAAGCCGGTCCTGGGGAATGGGTCGAGACTCTTCTGGGGACCCCGTCTTGAACAAATCATGACGTCGGATCTCTGGGGCGGCAAGGGCGCTGCCCGGCGGCGAGCCCGGGGGGGGGGGGCAGGCGGGAGGGGGCGGGCCTTCTCAGACGGCGGCAGGGCTTCGCAGAAGCCCTCGCGCCCTCGGAGAGGCTACCTGGGCCTTCGCTCTCAAGACAGGGGCGGCTTCCCAGAAGGCCGGAGGTCTTCTCAGAAGCCCCGCCGCCTTCCGAGAAGGCCTGCCCCCGCTCACTTCCCCCAACCCGCCTGGACTCGCCGCCGAGCTGTAGCGTTCGGCGGCGCTGGTGCACGGAGGGGCTTCCCTGCTTAGCGGGGCCGTGCGTCAACAAATGCGCGATGCCGGCTCCCAGCTGCCCTCGTGAGAAGATTATGTAAGAAGTGGGAAGCCTGCTCTGAATGATAAATGGACAGCGCCGTAGACGGCAGAACAAATACATCTAGCACTACAACTGCACGCAAATTTCACGTGCACACCTATCAAGTGGGCAAACATATTCACACCCTGATTCTCGCATCCCGAATATCGGTTGGTTTCTGTCTGTGCAGGCGCGGAAGCCGCGGCCAGAAGCGCAGCAGCCGCCAGCAGGGGATGGTGGTGATAGCCCGTATGAGAGCTTTTAACAGGGACCTCTGCGTAATGAAATCAATGGCCCGCGGCCGACTTCCCTTAGACTGATCTGGCCATGGTGCCTCCCTTGGACGAGCCATCACAGCCAGCGACAACGACGAGGAGGCGGGGCGCCAGTCCAGGCAGATACCTCGAGTGCCATCCCGGGCCCCGCCCGCTCCTGCTCACCCATTCCATAATAACGCTGGAACCACCGCCAGAACACAACTCGACAAACACAACATGCGCTGAGCGCTCGGCCGCCACGGGGCCCGACGCGAGATGCGCTTGCCCGAGCAGGACATGCACGACGGCCGCCGCACTCCAAGACGCAAGTCCAGCCTCGCTGTGTGAACTGCAAGTGGTGCCCACGCGGCGTCCGCCGCTCAGGGCATTCGCACTGGATGGCAAGGGCATCGACAACGTAGGGCATGGCACCCAAATGGGCCCCGGAGCAACCCGACACACTCTAGAGCGGGACCACGACGGCCTGATACGGCTCCAAGACGGATGCTGGCTCAACAATGCTGCCCCGACGTGCACCGCGCAGACGTCTTGCATCGCAAGCCAGACGATTCGACCGAGGACGCTTCCTCTTTTATTATTGCACGCTTGTTGGCGACATTAGGTTTCCGGTAGGAGGTGCTAGCACTGACTTGTGAGGGGGGCTTGGGGCGGGAGGGTGTGTGTCGGCATCGGCAGCTCGAGCTTGGCTTGCTTGGGTTGTTTGTTCTACTACTATTATTATTATTATTATTATTAGTATTATTAGTATTAGTATTATTAGTATTATTAGTATTATTAGTATTATTAGTATTATTGGTATTATTGGTATTATTAGTATTAGTAGTATTATTAGTATTAATATTATTGTTGTTATAATTACTACTAATACTATTATTATTAGTATTATTATTATTATGGTTATCATTATGATTGTTATTATGATTGTTATGGCTATTATTATTAGTAGTATTATTAATATTATTAGTCTCCTCATCCTGCTCCTCCTCCTCCTCCTCCTCCTCCCTCTCCTCCTCCTCCTCCTCCTCCTCCTCCTCCTCCTCCCTCCTCCTCCTCCTCCTCCTCCTCCTCCTCCTCCTCCTCCTCCTCCTCCTCCTCCTCACTCTCCTCCTCCTCCTCCTCCCCCTCCTCCTCCTCCTTCCACTCCTCACCCCTCCCCTCCTCCTCCCCCTCCTCCTCCTCCTCCTCCTCCTCCTCCTCCTCCTCCTCCTCCTCCTCCCCCTCCTCCACTTCCTCCTTGTACGCGCAAGCTGAGCAGGAGACGCTGTAGGAGGACGACAGGACGGACAAGGAGGGGAAGGACGAGGAGGAGGAGGAGGAGGAGTTGACTGGCCAGCCGAGAGCTTAGGGGGGGGCCCGAGCAGCATCAAAGACCCTTCAAGGTTGAGGAGGGGAAGGAAGAGACAGAAGGATTCTGACGATGATGGAGAGGATGAAGAGACGGACGGATGAGATAGAGAAGAAGGATGATTGGCGGTATGGTATGGGCCCGATCTTCTGGCAGATCTGAGGGCAGCTATGCCCACGACCTTCGCCGCCTCGACGATGCCAGAACTGAGGGCAGCAAGTAATAAAGTGCCCCTCCTTGGCCCATCGTCCCCTGTCCTCTTCGCCCTCCTCATGCCCTTCCTCCTCATCATCCAACTCCTTCTCGTCCTCCTCCTCCTCCTCCTCCTTATCTTAACAAAGATTTGAGACCCAAGGTCTTATCTCAAAAGAAAGTGTATGGTATGACTACGGCGCTGATCTCATTCCCATAACATTCCCGACCTCCTCCTCCTCTTTATCCTCCTCCTTCTCTTAACAAAGTTTTGAGGCCCAAACTCTTGTCTCCAAAGAAAGTTTATGATATGACTACGGCGTTGATCCCATTATCATTGCATTACAAACCTCCTCCTCCTCCTCCTCCTCTTCCTCCTTTTCACCTTAACAAAGGTTTGAGGCCCAAGGTCTCATCTCCAGAGAATTTGTGTGGTATGACTACGGCGTTGACCCCATTCCAGTTACATTCCCAACCTCCTCCTCCTCCTCCTCCTCCTCCTCCTCCTCCCTCCTCCTCCTCCTCCTTCCTCCTTCCTCTTCCCCTCCTCCTCCTCCTCCTTCCTCTTAACAAATGATTTGAGGCCCAAAGTCCGATCCCCAGAGAAAATTGTATGGTATGACTACGGCGTTGACCCATTCCAGTTACATTCCCAACCTCCTCCTTCCTCCTCACCTCCTCCTCCTCCTCCTCTCCTCCTCCTCCTCCTCTTAGCAAAGGTTTGCGGCCCAAGGTCTTATCACCAGAGAGAAAGTTTGTGGTATGACAACGGCGTTGATCCCAGTCCCGTTGCATTCCCGACCCCCTCCTCCTCCTCCTCCTCCTCCAACACCTCCTCCTCCTCTTCTTCCTCTACCATACCCTCCTCCTCCTCCTCCTCCTCCTCCTCCTCCTCCTCACTCCGTCCTCCTCACCTCCTCCTCCTCCTCCCCCCATGTCCTCCCCTTCTCCTCCTCCTCCTCCACCTTCTCCTCCTCCTCCTACTGCTCCACCTTCTCCTCCTCATCATCCTCCTCTCGGAGATGCTCCTGATGGGGTCCGACTAGTGGGGTCGCCCAGGATTCACTGCAATGGGATACGTATCGCTGCCAATGCGTCGGCGACGTCCGGCGATGCCATTGGGCGCCGTACCCGCTGGAGAATATCGGGCTCCGCATCGAGCCGCATCGGCGATGCATCGCCGATGCGGCGCCAACCTCCGACCCCATCTACTCGAACCCCATATGGGAGGCCTAGGTCCTTCTTATCTTATTCGTCTTTCTCCTCCTCCTCCGCCTCCTCCTCCTCTTTCTCCTCCTCCTTCTCCTTCTTTTCTTCCTCGTCCTCCTCCTCCTCCTCCTCCTCCTACTCCTCCTCCTCCTCCCTCCACCTCCTCCTCCTCCGCCCCCTCCTCTCCCTCCTCCCTCCTCCTCCTCCACCTCCCCTCCTCCTTCGCCTCCTCCTCCTCCTCCTCCTCCTCCCACCATGTCCTCCTCCTCCTCCTCCTCCTCCTCCTCCTCCTCCTTATTGTTATCTTCTTCTTCTGCTTCTTCTTCCTCCTCCGCCTCCGCCTCCTCCTTCGAGCACGTACCCCGTGTCAGCACAACCCTCCCTGGTAGACAACCGAAAACAATAACAGACACGATCATAACTAGAACCACGCGCGCGCTTCGCGCGCGCTTAGGTTCTAGCCGTGGCCACGGAACAGCTCCGAACACGGTATGACCAGGCACAGGTCCAAGTATGTGGCGTTAGCCCAGAAAACCGACCTCCTCCCCGTCCTCCTCCTCCCCCTCCGCCTCCTCCTGCCTCTCCGCCCCCTCCTCCCCCTCCCCCTCCTTCCCCCCCCCCCTCCCCCTCCTCCTCCTCCTCCACCTCCTCCTCCTCCTCTTCCTTGTCCTCCTCCCCCTCCTCCTCCTCTCCTCCTCCCCCTCCTCCTCCTTCTCCTCCCCCTCCTTCTCCTTCCCCTCCTCCCCCCGTCCTTTTCCTTCCCCTCCTCCCCCTCCCCCCCTCCTCCTCCCCCTCTTTCCTCCCCCCCCCCTCTCCCCTTCCGCATCCTCCGACTCGTCGTCGTCCTCCTCCTTCTCCTCCTCCGCCTCCTCCTCCTCGTCCTCCTCGTCCTCCTGTTCCTCCTCCTCCTCCCTCCTCTCCACTCCCGTCCTCCTCCATATTATCCCCCCCCTCCTCCCCCTCTCCTCCTTTTCCCCCTCCTCCTCCTCCTCCTTTCCCCCCCCCTCCTCCTCCTCCTCCTCCTCCTCCTCCTCCTCCTCCTCCTCCTCCTCCTCCTCCTCCTCCTCTTCCTTGTCCTCCTCCTCCTCATCTTCATCATCCTCCTTCTCCTACTCATCCTCATCATCATCCTCCCTCCCCCTCATATCCCTCCTCCTCCCGCCTCCCTCCTCCTCCTCCTCCTCCTCCTCCTTTTCCTCTTCCTCCCTCTCTTCTTCCTCCTCCTCTTCCTCCATCTCCGCCTGCTCCTCGTCCTCCTCCTCCTCCTCCTCCTCCTCCTTATCCCTCTTCCTCATCCCCCTCCTCCACCTCGCAAAACACTCGACGCCGGGA